TACCAGGATTCGCCATGTACCGACTAACCACTCCCACTCGCATACGCAATGTCCGGCCTTGTACAAATCATAGTGAACATTAAACTTTCCACTACTCGAACAATACTCGAGACATCTCCATCCTCTCTTCTTCACTCGCTAGGACTCATACTCGGAGGATAACTTGAAATTAATAGGAAGTGAGGTAGAAATTGGCTTACAATCTTGCATGTTGAAACGTTGTAAGACCTTCTTCAAATAAGTATTTTGAGAAAGCCAAATCTTCCTATTATTTCTATCTCGGTGAATTTGCATCCCTAGAATCTTGTTTGCTGGTCCTAAGTCCTTCATTTCAAATTCCTTAGCCAAATATGCCTTCAATTCTTTGACATAATCTTTGTTAGGGCTCGTTACCAACATGTCGTCGACATACAACAACAAGATAATAAAATTACTTTTACCAAACCTCTTGAAATATGCACAATGGTCCGCATTAAGTTTGTTGTATCCAAGGCTCATGATGAATGAATCAAATCTCTTGTACCAACACCTCGATGCCCGTTTTAGATCGTATAAAGATTTAGTCAACTCCGCAAACCAAGTTCTCTTTTCCTATTTCTTCAAAACCTTCTGGTCTGGAGCATATAAATCTCTTCTTCAAGATCTCCATGAAGAAAAGCCGTTTTCATATCTAACTCGCTCTAGATGTAAGTCAAACATAGCACACATTGCTAGGACTACTCGGATCGTTGTCGGCCGAACCACAGGAGAAAATATCTCATTAAAGTTAATCCCTTCTTTCCGAGCATAACCTTTCGCCACCAACCTTGCACGATATCGCTCCACCTCGATCATCGGTATTTCGTTTGATCTTGTAAACCCATTTATTACCAACGGGCTTTCTTCCTTGTGGTAATGTCATAAGTTTTCAAGTCTTGTTCTTGTGAAGAGCTTCAATTTCTTCCCGCATCGTCGCCATCCACAGAGATGCATCCGAGTTGTTCATTGCTTCTTGGAGAGTTGATGGCTCTCCTTCCTCCGTTAAAAGACAGTATGCAACATTGCTCTCCATAATATAGTCCGAATGCCAATCGAGTTGCTTTCTTATGCGATCGATCCATCGGGGTTCGAAACTTCGGACTCAACCGGTTCCTCTCCCTCATGCTCTGGTGTCGCTTCGAAGGATCCTTTTGTTCGGGATCTTTTTCTACCTATACCTTTGTAGTTTCGAAGTGCTATTACCTTGTTTCTTCCTTTGTAGATCTGTTTCTACAAAGATAACCTCCCTGCCGACAATAACCTTGTAGGCAATGGGATCCCACGGACGATACCCTTTGACTCCATCAAGCATACCCCAAGAATAAGCATTTCATGAATTTTGGATCTAGCTTTGTGATTTCTTGGGCGTTGCACATCACGTACACAGGACTTCCAAATATATGAAAATTTGAATAATCAACCGGCTTACCAATCCATATCTCCATCGGTGTCTTCAACTCAATTGCAGTTGATGGGGATCGATTCACAATATAACAAGCGGTATTGATCGCTTACGCCTGAATGCCTTTCCTAAGCTCTGCAGTTCTCAAGCATAGCTCTTATTCTTTCTAACAAGGTTCTATTCATCCGCTCTATCACTCCATTTTGTTGAGGAGTGTATGCAACCGTGAATCGTCTTTTGATACCTTCTTGTTTGTAGAAGGTATCAAATTCATTACCGATGTATTCTCCTCTATTATCCATCCTCAAACACTTGATCTTCTTTCCGGACTCAAGTTCAACTCACGCTTTGTAAAATTTGAAGACCGAAAACACATCTCTTTTCCTATTGATAGGATACACCCAAGCATATCCTAGAATAATCATCAATGAAGGACACAAAGTACTTCGCTCCTCCTAGGGATGGAATCGGTGCTTGCCACACATCGAGTTAACCAATTCTAGAATAGTCTTGCTTCTAGAATTTGATGTGCTAAACTTCAATCGATGCCGTCATTGCGATAACACAATGCTCACAAAAGGGTAAAGATACTTTTGTGAGTCTTGGAAGTAGCTTTTGCTCGAGCAAGGATTTTCATTCCTTGTTCGGACATATGCCCAAGTTTTTGATGCCACATTATTGCAGATTTTTCACTCGAATTGTTTAAAGCAACCGATGGTTCCGCTTCTTGTAAAGTCTCTCCCTTCAGCATGTATAAGTTTGCGTAGCTATCTTTTCTCCTTTCATAAGTACAAGCGCTCCTTTGATTATCTTCGGGATCCCCTTCTCGGTATCGATCTTGTATCCAAGATCATCAAGTTGTCCTATAGACAACAAGTTCTTCTTCGAGCCCTCCACATGCCGCACTTGTTGAATAGTATGAATTGTACCATCATACATCTTCGACTTGATGGTTCCAATGCTAATGATCTTTAGAGCATGATCATTGCAACCGTACATAAATCCTCCCGAGATAGGTTCATAATGATAGAACCATTCCTTCCTAGAGGTCATGTGAAACTTAGCTCCCGAGTCGAATAGCCACACATCATCAAATCTTTTTCTATCACTATATGACGTTATCGCTTCACAACACGAGCATTTCCATCATCCGAGGTGCTTGCCACATTTCCATGATTATAGCTCCCACTCGAGCCACGATCTATTGATCTCCCTCTCATCACCGTCAAAGCTTCGCTTGTTGAGAAGTCATATGCCTGTTTTTCTTGTTCATGCGTCGATTTTCTTCTTCCAAAATAGCAGTACGCAACATCATTAAAGACTAGATAATCCGTAAGGATATTATTTGTTAAGTTGATGATGAGTTGATCATACGAATCCGGTAGACTTTGAAGTAGAAGTTCGAGCACGTTCACTTTGATCTATTTTATAACCCAACGATGTGAGTTGAGAAAATAAAGTATTCAAAGTATTGACATGCTCCGTCACCGAAGTAGATTCCGCCATCCGAAGAGTATAGAGTTTCCTCTTAAGAAAAATTTTGTTGTGGAGTGACTTGGCCTCATACAGACTTAGTAAGATGATCCAATATCTCCTTTCGTTGTCTTCTTCTCCTCTATGTTTGACAACACTCCGTTTGCTAATGCTAGATGAAGATTTGCAATAACATTTCCATCTATCTCATTCCACTTATTGTCATCTCGTGTATTCTCTCGGCCTTTCATTGATAGCCGCTAGGCAATTATCTTTTCTCAAGATAGCCTTTATCTTCAACTTCCACAATGAGAAATTGCTCCCGTTGAATTTTTCGATTTCAAACTTTACCGTCATTGCTTCTATCACGGACTCTGCAGGATCTACAACCGGGCTCGATACCACTTGTTGTCTTTTTGACCGAATAGAGCGAGGTCGCGACTAATAAATTTGAGAAATAAAGATGAAGTTGAACACACAGATTTTACGTGAAAACCCTTAAATAAATTAAGGAAAAAAACCACGGACAAGATAGAAGAATTTTACTATGAAAAATAATAGGAGTTACATCCTCTCTCTATACTATAAGGAGAAAACAATAAATTTCTCTTTTGAAATAGGAAAAATCACTCTCTATATTTTTTTCTCTCTTCTTTGAGATGGGACATATCAAACTAAGGTGGAGAGGCCTATTTATAGACCTCTCCCTTGCTTGCACCGCCTCAATTTAGGCGGTGCAAGGTCGAGTCACAGCTTGCATTTTGCAAGCTCGGATTCCGTGGACAAATTGTCCACGGAAAGCCTCGCATGCAACCGTGATTTCAATGGACAAATTGTCCACGGAAATCCCCTTTTGTTTTGTTTATTATTGTTTTTCAACAATTAAAACAATAAAGAAAGCTTGTTAATAAACTAATAAAAGCAAATAGTGAGAAAAATAAAGTGTGAACCTATAAAAAGAAAATAACTTGAACAGAATGGATTGAAAATTTATGTGTAAGAGGATTAATTAAAGAATTACAATGAAATGAGCTTTTTTTTTTTTTTTACATACCAGTTTAAAGCCATAAAATTAATTGTTTCGCGTAAATTCAATGTCTTTACTAGTTTTAAGAGTCAAGTTTAAACAAGAAAACCATAAATCAACAATTTATGTTACGAAAAAATTATAAGGAAAGGAAGACCTATACTAAATAAAATCGAAATCCGTTGCAAATACTTATAGAAAGTAAATTGATTGTTAAGTCCGTTATAATAAAGGCTTTTGAAACAACCCACAATTAAGCACTAAGAATTATAAAAAAAAATTTCAGTCAAAACCGATATTATAACGTTCCATGCTCGTTAAACTAACACAATACTTTATGTGTGATTTGAAAAAATGGTTAATTTAAAATGACGAAATCCACTTATTCGAGTAGAATTCACTCTTGTTTTACAAAGAATTCAAAATCTTCAATTAGTTTTTTTTATTCATAATTGAATAATTGATTGTTAATGAAAAAATATTAAATTAAAAATATTTGGATGAACAAACTGGAACTAGATGGAAATATTACAAATCAGATTCGAATATTATTTTAAAATACAAAATGATACTGAAGGTCAACTCAAACTCCATTGTAAATCAGATGAAGCAATCTTGAAAGTAAGTTACTAATTTGAGAATCTAAGGGTTAGCAAGTAACAAGAGAGGATAAATTTGTTTGGTGGATAACGGTAAGAAATGGGAATTAACCATGGAAACATGAAACACGTTGGTGAGTTTTAAGCAACAAAAATTTCTAGTAAATGACAAGCCAATCCAACGACACCCCTCCTTCCTTCCCTCCCTCCAGATCCAATGTAACAAGTCAACTACGTTCCTTCTCTCTCTCTCTCTCTCTCTCTCAATCTTCCTTCGCAAACACACTTCCTTCCCACTCGTTGTCGTTTATTCACGGTCACGGTCACAGCTGCAAATTTTTCTTATGACCAAAACACACACAGACACTCCTTTTAATTTACCGAACTACCCCTTCCTGCTTTCCTTTTTAGAATCTCCTCCCCCCACCCTTTGACCCTCCACCCACACTCACTCCCTCCCTCACTCCCTCTCTCACTCACAATGGACAACTATAACTCTCACTCTGAGGTTTCCGACTGCGGCGATCCGACGAGGCCCGAGTCCGGTGGTGGCGCTAGGTACAAGCTGATGTCGCCGGCCAAGCTTCCGATCTCGAGGTCGGCTTGCATCACGATCCCTCCTGGACTCAGTCCGACCTCGTTTCTTGAGTCTCCAGTTCTTCTCTCTAATGTTAAGGTTAGTCGTCGTTTTTACTTCACTCAATTGTTGTTTGGATCGGAGTTTTTGGTTTTTCTGTTCGTTCGCTGAGAAAAATGAAAAGAAAGTAGGGTAGTGGACTTGTTTTAAGATCTGTTTGGGAGCTGAGATAAGTAAAGCGAACTGGAGGAGTTGATAATTTAAGTGACCAAACAGGCACTTAAAAACTTTTATTTTTTTCTTTTTCTTTATTAAAGTAAAGCATTACCAATGTAAGATTCAAAGTTTTTTTTTTAATAGTTATTGTTGCTATTATTATTATTATTATTATTATCAATTTTCTAGTGTTTCGCAGCTATCAAAAGAACGGTGTTGCTTACAGCTTCGTGTCGTTGAGTTAAGAAGTGGAGAATTGGCTTTTAAGAAACAAGATGCTCTTACTTTTTTTTTTTTTTAAAAAAAACAGCTTGAAATTTGAAATGCCAGTTATTATATTTGTTTTGTTTCGTATTTTTTAGATTTTTCATTTATGTAATTTGGGAGTGCTTATGTCGCAACCTGAAGTTAGATTCTGATGCTTGATGATATAAAAACTCTGAATTTGGTACCATGTCTAGTGTGGAGGAGAATATGACTTTTTAGTATTATTATTATGAGCTTTTCCTTTTTATGTTCTCTTTTCTTTTTCATTGCCTGTGATGTTTTTTCACATAATGAGTCTTTGCGGTGGCTTTTCTTGTCTATGTTTTTACGGTGTCATTGGTTACACCTCTCTATTTGTTTGTGTGAAGAATATGGAATAGATGCGTTGATGACGAAATTGATATTTGTTAAATGTGATATGACTACAAAGTGGAACGAGAAGCTAGAAGGGATACGTGAATCAAAGAAATGAGAATAAACTCGACTATCCATACAGAGAATATATTTGGTTGCCCAGCATTACCGTAAATAGAATGTGATATGCGTTTTTTATGTTGAGGTCAAGCATGAGAAATTGGGTTTGAGCCTTTGCTCACTTGAGTGCGTTATTTTCTAGATTGAAATTATTGGGCTAAAATGGAGATATTTTGACATTGAAGTGACAATTTTGCTTTTCTCCACCTTTAATGGGTTCAATATATATATATTTCTCTTCTTATATTTGCTGAATGTCTTTAAGCTTGTGTCACCTGGTGAGAATTAGTTAACTCATATAATGTGTTTAGATGCGCTGATCTTTGTATGTATTGATGCCGATTAGAAAGTATATCTAAGAGCTTCACAGTTTTGGCACCAGTTGAAAATATGGAGAGTGGAGACGGTGACATAAAGAGAAAACATAGTTATCAGTTGAGCCATCGATGTGGGCCTTAGGACGTTCAGGGATTACGCAACTAGCATGTATCTTGATTTTCAGTTCTTTTTTTTTTTGTTTACTTGGTCTGCTTGTACTTTTTATTAGAATTATCTATAAGACTGATTCATTATCCTCTTGGCTTCACAGGCAGAGCCTTCCCCCACTACTGGTACGTTTACTAAGCCTCAGACAGTGCTTGGCTCTCTTAGCTCCACTTCATATTCAGCTACTAGTGTTTCATCCACCTCCTGTGGAGAAAGAAAATCCAACTGCTTTGAATTTAGACCATATACTAGGTCAAACATGGTAAGTTCTTAATGAGATTTCATGTTGTCTTAAATTGCTTGGTGGCTTTAAGTATTTGGATGTCATGTAAATTTATTTTTCTTTTTTACAAGATTTTACACACACACACACACGCTCTCTTAAATTGCATGATATTATTCAATAATTACATGGTACTTTCAGCCCTCATTCATGTCTAATTAACAGCACACTAATTACTCACTTTACCGAGCTTCTTCTTCTTCTACTTTCCTTTATCCCATTTGTAGGTAGTGACTAAATATAAAAGCTTCACCAACCCCAAACCTGACCTATTTTAACCTGTTTGAGATTTCTCAAAAATTATCGTATATTATTCAAAACATTCACTGCCAATGAGTCATTGGTTTTATTCATTCTCATTCTGAACAAGTAATTGCCAAAGGAATTAAGAGCTAGATGATGAGACATCTTTTTATACCTGACCTTCTTTTTTCCCTTTTTTGGAATTATTATATGTTGATGATCTCATTTCAGTTGCTGACATCTGCAAGTAGCCTTGCTGGTTTAGGGGGCATTGTTTGCCTAACATGTTTCATTTATCAAGGTTTCTGCAGATATGAACAATCAGAGAAGCACACAATGTGTTCAAGTCCAAAGCCAGTGCCAATCACAATCATTTGCACCATCACCTTCAGTAAAAGGTGAGATGGCAGTCTCCACAAATGATATGAGTCTATCAGCACCCCTTCACATGGTTACTTCAGGTGCTAGTGAACATGCTGAAGTTGATTTAGATGAACTAAACCAGATGGGACTCTCTAGCAGTGGGATTCGGGCATCACAGTCTGATCATAAAGTAGGAAGTGCACCTTCAATGTCATCTGAAGATGGATATAACTGGAGAAAATATGGACAGAAACATGTTAAAGGAAGTGAGTTCCCACGCAGCTATTACAAATGTACACATCCTAACTGTGAAGTGAAAAAGTTATTTGAGCGCTCCCATGATGGACAAATAACAGAGATTATCTATAAGGGTACGCACGATCATCCTAAACCTCAACCCAGCCGCCGATATGCCTCTGGTTCTGTTTTGTCCATGCAGGAAGAAAGATTTGACAAGTTTTCATCTCTGCCTAGCCAAGATGGTATGGATGAAACTTCTTAGGGAATTCAGTTTGCTATTTACTTCCCCTAGTATTAACTAATGTTCCTTTTCTCCTTTCCTTCCCTTTTTGTCACTTACATTACAGACAAGTCACCTGGTGCACATGGACAGGTGCCTCATGCTATCGAGCCAAATGGTGCCCCTGAGCTGTCTCCTGGCACAGCAAATGATGCTACTGGAGAAGGCGCTGAGGATGATGATGATCCCTTCTCAAAAAGAAGGTATCAGTTAAGAACACCATTTAAGTTACTCATAAGACATATTCTAACCGAAAAAATGGTCTAATTACATTGAGCAGGAGGTTGGATGCTGGAGGTTTTGATGTTACTCCAGTGGTCAAACCTATCCGAGAACCACGGGTTGTCGTGCAAACTCTGAGTGAGGTTGATATACTGGATGATGGGTACAGGTGGCGCAAATATGGCCAGAAAGTGGTGAGAGGAAATCCTAATCCAAGGTATGTTTTCGGAATTGATGATATGAGTCAAATAGGTGCTTTTTTGCTGTCACGCTCCTTTCTATCATGTAGTGACTCCTTTTCTTTTGCACTTTAGTGAATTTCCTGGGAATTTCCTGTGCATTAGTACAGTTTTAGCAGTCATCTGATGTGAATAACGAATAAAGTGATGGAATAAGCAGATGCCATCTCTTGAACGTGATCAGTGCCCAGTCTTTCTGACTAGGGGTCTGACATGAAATCATTGTGATTCTTAAACTACTTTGAGTTATTTGGTCTCATTAAGTTGAGGTTTTAATGTGATACTAGTCTCACAATATGTGCATTGCGACAAGACACTGGGTTGGATTATATTCCAACAAAAGAAGATTATTCTTATTTAGATTGTTTCTTAAGTATTATTATTGTAGCAAGATAAAGATGTTATAAATTTAATAAATGTTGGATTTAGTGAAAATCCTGAATGCATAAAGGAAAGAAAATATCTGTCCATTTTTAGAAAAAGATGCACAAAAATAAGGGGACAACCAAAATAACAAAATTCTTGCCAACTCATTTCCTTGTGCATCTTTCTTGTATTCATCGGGAGAGCTTGAAGAGTATCTAATCGTTTGCTAATGTTTTTTCAATCTATTAGTAAGTATGGAGGCATCCTTGTTATTGAGGTATTCTTGAAACTTCAATAGAAGAGTTGGGGAAATGACATCTTCCTTGAGCCTTTTATATGTTTTAATTTGTCCTGAATTTAGATGTTTTTGCAAGTGCATCTCTGTGTCTAGAAATTGTTGCCAGTCAGCCAAATGCAGATTAAGGTTGTGAATTTTCAAGGAGTCCTCTTTCCTTCAGTCTCTTAAAGAAAATGGAGTTCCTCTTCTCAGTAGAGGGAAGCATGAGGGGATGATGTGGGGAAAATCTATGTATGCTATGAAGCTAAAACCTACTGGCAAAATGGTTCATTGCTCTCTTAAAATCTGATTGGGCTGGAATCAGAGTTCTTATTAACTAAGACTATTTAATGGTCAGTCCTTATAACAAGGACGAATCCTCTCCATATCAAGGTTGCCACCCATGGAACTTTTCCTCGTTACAAAGTGATGTAGAACCACCAACTAGGGAGAGACAAAAATATCAATTGCTAGGGACTTCTACCATGTCAATAACAGAACACAAGTAACTCAGAACACACACACACACACAGAGCAATAGATGATTTTTAAAAAATTTTATTTACTTACCTCTCTGCACATAGTAACTACTTTAGACAGCTTCAGTGCTTGAACTCTTGCCCTTTGTGTTCTAGCTAAATTGTCAAGTTTATTCTAAAAAAAAGTCGTACTGTTTATCTGTTTTATTGTTGTTTCTTATGAGATATATGATGTTTTCTTGTTATGTTTACTGATTTTTCAGGAGTTACTACAAATGCACAAATGCTGGATGCGCAGTTAGAAAGCATGTGGAGAGGGCGTCACATGATCCAAAAGCAGTTATAACCACGTATGAGGGAAAACACAATCATGATGTACCTACGGCTAGGACAAACAGTCATGACACAGCAGGACCATCAGCTGTGAATGGACCCTCAAGGATTATACCAGATGAAAATGATACAATTAGCCTTGATCTTGGGGTCGGGATCAATTCTACAGCTGATAACCGGTCCAGCAGTCGGCAACAATCTTTGCATGCTGAACTTGTCAAAACCGAAAACCAAGCAAGTGGTTCTAGTTTCAGAATTGTTCATGCAACACCAGTTGCGGCTTACTATGGCGTTTTAAATGGTGGGATGAATCAATATGGATCTAGACAAATTCCAAGTGAAAGCCGTAGCATTGAAATTCCACCTCTAAACCTTTCCTCTTATCCATATCCGCAGAACGTGGGAAGATTATTAACAGGTCCATAAGTTTGTCTAATTTGTTTAAAACTGTTTCCTGCTTGCTCGCCTTACAGCTGGTAAATGACAAAAGGTTAGAATCTGAATTTCAAAAAATATGTAATTGCTCTATATGTCTTTGCTTATGGTCTTAGAGCTCATCTTTGGTGTTAGTAACTTCCTTGCAGAAAATTCTCCTGTTGCCATTTCATCAACTTTGCTAACCACAAAGTTTTGTATAAATCTGCATGAAGCAGTATTGTAAACCAGTGCTTGAAAGGATTACGTCGTGAATGTAGAACTCAAAATTTCTGCAAATCTAGATTTTTTTTTGTGTAAAATTCCTGAGACCATTTTCCACAAGCGCGTGCTGGTTTTGGGAGTTTTGAGTTGTATTATTATCAATTTTGTTAGTGAATGCCCAGCGACGGTTCTTATCTTATAGCGGGGACAGTACAGAAAAGAAGACCTTACATTACATTCGCTCATTTTCTGAATCCAAATTGAAGAATGCGTTGCATCGGAATTTTTTTAAGCCAGGACCAACAACGGTAACTGGTCGATTATTTTTTGTCTCGGCAGAGGACAGAACGACCCTAATCATTCTCTCACTGGAATTCATCCAAGAGCTGCTTGTCTTTTGGTGCCTTATACCTATATAATAAAGCAATTTGATAAGATCTATGTGAAAGTAACAAGAAGACGTCCTGTTCCAGGAAAGGAAATAAAAACTCTCCTATGTCTACCGTTTTACTTTACAAGGTAAATCTAAGTTTCACTATGGAACAACTATAAACTGTAGAGGTTGTTGATAATTTTATAAAAGTTCATTTCTTTTCTTGGGTCATCATTTACCTTAGTGTGTTTGGATCTAGAGTGAGAGAAAACGGGGAAGTTTCCAATATAGAGAGAGTTTACTACCCAATAATCTGTAAATTGAAGTTTAGTCACTGAATTGAAATTCAGTTTTCAATTTGATCCCTGCAAGTGGATTCAGATTTTTCAAATTACAAGATATACTAAAACAAAACGTAAAACTACTGTAGCATTTTTACTGTGGATTGAACTTTTTTTTTTTTTCATTTCTTTTTTTGGCTTTATTTTCATTTTGGTCCCAACTTTTTTTTTGGTCATATTTTTTTTTTTTTCTGCATTCCCTCTTTTGGCTTTTAGTAAATTTTATTTTCATTTTATTCCTCGCTTTGTAACCTTTTTTATTTTGGTCACATTTTTTTTTTCGCATTCCCTCTTTTGGTTTTTGGTGAATTTTATTTTTATTTTAGTTCTGTTTTATAACCTTTTTTTTTATTTTGGTCATTAAAATTTTATTATATTTGATTTTTGTCCCTATAATAAATATTTTTTTATTGCCTTTGAGTAAGAATTTATGTTCTTTTTTTTGTTTCAATTTTGTGATATGTTTTTATTTTAGTCATTAAAGTTTACCATATTTGATTTTTATTACAAGATATACTAAAACGAACGTAAAACTATTGTAGCATTTTTACCGTGGATTGGTCGTTCACTTTTTTTTTCTTTTTCTTTTGGCTTTATTTTCATTTTGGTCCCTATTTTGTAACTTTTTTTTTGGTCATACCTTTTTTTCTCGCATTCCCTCTTTTGGTTTTTGATGAATTTTATTTTTATTTTAGTTCTCTTTTATAACTTTTTTTTTATTTTGTTCATTAAAATTTTATTATATTTGATTTTTGTCCCTATAATAAATATTTTTTTCTTGCCTTTAAGTAAGAATTTATGTTCTTTTTTTTGGTTTCAATTTTGTGATATGTTTTTATTTTAGTCATTAAAGTTTTATCATATTTGATTTTTATTACAAGATATACTAAAACAAAACGTAAAACTATTGTAGCATTTTTACTGTGGATTGATCTGTTCACTTTTTTTTTCTTTTTCTTTTGGCTTTATTTTCATTTTGGTCCCTATTTTGTAACTTTTTTTTTTTTCGCATTCCCTCTTTTGGCTTTTAGTAAATATTATTTTCATTTTATTCCTCGCTTTGTAGCCTTTTTTATTTTGGTCACATTTTTTTTTTTTTTTTCGCATTCCCTCTTTTGGTTTTTGGTGAATTTTATCTTTATTTTAGTTCTGTTTTATAACTTTTTTTATTTTGGTCATTAAAATTTTATTACATTTGATTTTTGTCCTCATAATAAATATTTTTTTCTTACCTTTGAGTAAGAATTTATGTTCTTTTTTTGTTTCAATTTTGTTATATGTTTTTATTTTAATCATTAACATTTTATCATATTTGATTTTTATTATAAGATATACTAAAACAAAACGTAAAACTATTGTAGCATTTTTATTGTGGATTGATCTGTTCACTTTTGTTTTCTTGTTTTCATTCCCTCTTTTGGCTTTATTTTCATTTTGGTGCTACATTCCTCTTTTGGCTTTATTTTCATTTTGGTCCTTATTTTGTAACTTTTTTTTAATTATTTTGGTCACACTTTTTTTTCCCGCATTTCCTCTTTTGGCTTTTAGTGAATTTTATTTTCATTTTATTCCTCGCTTTGTAGCCTTTTTTATTTTGGTCACAATTTTATTTCTTTATTTATTTTTTTGTCGCATTCTCTTTTTTGGCTTTTGGTTAATTTTATTTTTATTTTAGTTATGTTTTGTAACTTTTTTTTTATTTTCGTCATTAAAATTTTATTATATTTGATTTTTGTCCTTATAATAAATATTAAAATTTTATTATATTTGATTTTTTTCCTATAATAAATATTTTTTTCTTGCCTTTGAGTAAGAATTTATGTTCTTTTTTTGTTTCAATTTTGTGATAGTTTTTTATTTTAGTCATTCAAATTTTATCATATTTGATTTTTATTCTTACTATACTAAAACTAAATAAAGTTTCACTATCCTAAGCTTTTTTTTTTCTTTTAGTAAATTGTTTTTTATTATAATTTCTGTTTTGTGATTTTTGCTTTGTTTTGGGCATTAAATTTAATAGAATTTTATTTTTATTTTTATTTTAGTCCCTATTTTGTAATTTTTTTTATTTTTATTATTAAATTTTTATTATATTTGATTTTTTTCTCTAGAAGGAAATATTTTTTTACTTTTAGTAAATTTTTTTTTTATGTTTTGGTTTTTATTTTGTGAACTTTCTTTTATTTTGGTCATTAAATTTTTATTATATTTTATTATTATTCTTTCTACACTAAAATTAAATATAGTTTCACTATTCTAATTTTTTTTTTTTAGTAGAAAACATTTTCAGCTTTAGTAAAATTAAATTTTGTCATGTTTTACTTTTATTTACGCTTTATGTATAATGAATTTATTTTTTTAGTCTTATAGTTTATAATTTTTTTTTAGAGTTTTTTAAATTTATTTTGATCGTTCTTTTATGATCTTGACTTTACATTATATTACTTAACTTTACAAATTTTTCGTTTAACTAAGCTTATAGCAAAATATGAGATATATGTTTTGGTTCTTTTTTTCAAATTTCTTTTGCATGATGCTTTTAAATAATTATTTTTAAAATTTAAATTTTATATAAATAGATAAGAATATTGTATAGCTCACCCCGCAGACAATGTGCGGGATATATGCTAGTTAGTTCTAAGGACAAATCGAAAAGATAATGGAATCCTAATGGTTATATTATGTGGAATAAGGATCATGAAAAATTGTGAAAATTATGATGATCATGGATATATGGAATGAAAGACGTTAGGGGATCTCACTCGTTTTGTAGGTTTTTTTTTTTTTTTAAATGATTGAGTGAATGTATTCTTTCATATGATGTCTATCATGTTCCTAAAGAAAGTATTAAACGCGCCTAGTACACCGAATGATGTTTTGCTTACATGAAAACGTTTTCATTTGATGACGACGACGATGATTTCATTGTTAGAAAGTATCCATGCAAATAATTTCCATAAATGAGTGATTGAATTGTACATGAAGGGGTTTTTAGATAGAGGAAATATATTTTGTTTTATATTTTGTTGTCGATACGGTGATTATAAACTAATGTCTTGCCGAGTTTTTATGGCAAAAACTAATAATTTTGTGAATGTAATTTTTATGACTTTTAGATGAACCCATACATAAATACATGACGAGGGAGGCACGATCAATACTTGTATAGACGTAAGAGGCATGAATTTGAGTAGCATTGACTCGGAATGTAGACCATAATTCAAGTTTGGATCGAATTGAAGATTTTAGAAGTTGAGGGACCAAATTGATCTTTTACTTAGTTTATATTTAAATGAGTCTTTTTATGTAAAATACCTAATTGACTTGTAAAAGTTTATTTAGTTTAGAAGACTAAATTATAGTCTATTTAGTTAATTATAGTATTTAAATTATATATATTTTTTAGAAAATGATGGGGAGTAAGTCTTTTACATGGATCAAGTTAAGTTTTTAGAGTCATTTATGATGAGTTTTCTTAGCTATTAAGTCAAGAGATTGCTGGCTATATTTTCCTATAAATAAGAGCTTTGTGGTTTGTAAAATTACAACTTGATTATTGATTAAATAAAACTCTTGAGACTTTTTCTCATAAACCTTTGAAATCTGTGTTTTTGCTTCGATTTTTGTTTTTTTTATTTCCTTAATTTGATTAGCCAAGATAGATTCTTTGATCACAATCTAATCCAAAGGTGTAGTAGGGTTATCAATCTTGCCAAAATCATCAAGGATTAAACTCTAACAAGTTTGGCAATCAACATATCTTGGCTTTACTTATTAGTTTCTTGATTCTTGAAATTCTGGTTTAGGAAAAAATTTGGATCGACCTTCGACTTAGTAGCAAAAGGGTTAAAAGCTATCTAATTAAGTTCCAATTTGGATAGTAGCTTAATGTAACCCCTGTAAAAATCCTTCACTATATAAACTACCGAAATATTTATATATATAGATAGATACTACATGTGGGTGAAATTTATGTACCATTTTAATATTTTATAATACTATGCTTGGTGTTTCGGTGAGAATTGATGGGACGATATTCGAAAACTTAGCTACTTACCATTTATTTCCTATGCTTAGAACATCCCATCGGGTGAGAAAAAATTATTCAAAATATGAAGAGTGTCAAAATTTGGGCACTTGTTTAAATGATTGGAAAATGCCGAATTTTAGGAGAGGGAATCAGTCGAAATTTTTGGAGAAAGAAATGACAAGTTACTTGAACCAAACTAGCTTAGGAATTTAGTTAGCCTAATTCCTTAGTTAGGACACCTAAGCACCCTAATTAAATGCATGGAAGCCATCACCTTT